TAGATAGATAGATAGATAAATGGATGGATAGACAGATAGATAGATAGATAGATGGATAGATAGATAGATAGATCGATCGATCGATAGATCGATCGATCGATCGATAGAGAGAGAGAGATATAGATAGATAGATAGATAGATAGATAGATAGATAGATAGATAGATAGATAGATGGATAGATAGATAGATAGACAGATAGATAGATAGATAGATAGATCGATAGATCGATAGATCGATAGATCAATAGATAGATAGATCGATAGGTAGATAGAATAGATGGATAGATGGCTATCTAGATAGATAGATAGATTAGATAGATAGCTAGCTAGATAGATAGACAGATAGATAAATGGATAGGTAGACAGATAGATAGCTATATAGATAGATCGAGCGATTGAAAGATAGGTTGATATCTAGATACATAGATAAATAGATACATAGATAGATAGATAGATAGATAGATAGATACATATACAGATAGATAGATAGATAGATCGATAGATAGATAGATAGATAGGTAGATAGATAGATAGATAGGTAGATAGATGGATAGATAGATAGATAGGTATTTAATGGTATTTAGATAGATATCTAGATAGGTAGTTAGATAGATATCTAGATAGTTAGTTAGATAGACAGATAGATAGATAGATAGAAAGACAGGTAGATAGATTAGTTAGTTAGTTAGTTAGTTTGTTTGTTTGTTTGTTTGTTTGTTAGTTAGTTACTTAGTTACTTAGTGAGTTAGTTTCTTAGTTAGTTTGTCAGTTTGTTAGTTAGTTTGTTAGTTAGTTAGTTTGTTAGTTTGTTAGTTTGTTAGTTTGTTGGTTAGTTAGTTAGTTAGTTAGTTAGTTAGTTAGTTAGTTACTTAGTTACTTAGTTACTTAGTTTGTTAGTTAGTTTGTTAGTTTGTTAGTTTGTTTGTTAGTTAGTTTGTTTGTTAGTTAGTTACTTGGTTTGTTAGTTTGTTAGGTAGATAGATAGATAGATAGAAAGACAGACAGACAGATAGACAGATAGATAGATAGGTAGATAGATAGATCGATAGATCAATAGATAGACAGATGAGAGTGAGAGAGAGAGAGAGAGATAGATAGATAGATAGATCGGTAGGTAGGTAGGTAGGTAGATAATCAGAGAAAGAGAGAGAAAGAGAGAGAGAGAGAGAAAGAGAGCAAAAGAGAGCAAAAGAGAGCAAAAGAGGGAGAGAGAGAAAGAGTGAGAGAGATCAATCACCTTTCAGTCCATCAGTGGCTTCGCTCTGCCATCCCTGATTCACAACAACCAACCTCTCCTATAGGTTTCCTATTTCTGAAATTCCGCCACCGCCTTGTGCGGTACTACTGGTAATTGTGGTAGTGATGATGATAACAATGATACTATAATAATGATGATAGTAGTAATAGTCATAGTAGATACATGTATATTGTATACACGTGTTTGTGGGTCTGTGATAGGTCTACATCGATTGAGATTTACATTTGACTGCAAAGTTGCGGAGAGGTAAGGAGCCTTGCAGAAAGTCAGACTACAAAGACTGGCGAGGAGTTCTTATTTGATATTACTAGAGTTGGACTGCTGTCCCCATCAGGGTCTGAAATCACTTTTAGATACTTTCAGCATCGAAGCCACCGGCGCCTGGTAGCCACCATGCCCATCAAAGACACCAAAGAAGCTAGCAGTGCGGAAACCAGGCAACTCCAAGTAGCCGCAAGCACGATCCTGTCTTGAAAGCACGCAGAAGGCACCAAAGAGGTGTTATGATGCTGTAATAGGCAGAGCTATGAGTATCAAGCAAAACAAAGGGACTTGGTCTAACATATATAACATGGTTTAATTTCGGACCTGGTCCAGCTTCCCCCCTGCACTGTTTGCTTGCATCGTTTAAATCTTCTAAAAGGTTGTAAGTTCAAGCTCTAGTCTGCGGTCAGCTTCGAGGATCACGGGGGCTTCAACACCGGACAAGGTAATTGCGCGGGCCGTGTCTCAATCGCGTTCAAACTGAAAAAAGCATCATCAAATGAGATGTTAATGCCTTCAATAATGTATTTAGGAATATCTTTAATGATATCTTAAGGCAACTTACTCGGCAAAGGTTACCCCGACACTGCAGTCAACTGTGATTCCCACATGGAACTACTTCCCCCAACTGGCAGAAAAGGCCTCCCCCCAACTGGCAGAAAAGTCCTCCCCCCAACTTCTTCGCACACTGTAAACAAAACACAAAAATGCAAAAGTGCCCAAAAAAACTCTATATAATCTAAAACTTCCAAAACATCATGAGCACGCAAGTCACCGCATGGTTTTGCCTTCACAAAAATGGCTAACAAAACGTTCGAATATGAAATCAGAACACCATGTAAATGTCAGATTCATGAGCATTTTGGGAAATCATCTCGGTCCAGTGTTCTAAATCACATCTAAACCCTATGTTCAAAGTAACATTTAAAATGCAGCAGCAACTACTTCATCTACTTCTAAAACACCACTTTCTATCTCATAAGACTGTTTTCCCCAAGCTAAACGCAGGTTGGGGCGGCTTTCCGGGCAAGGTTTCCCAGATTTTGGATCGGCCGGGGAAACTTCAGCAACTGTCAGTAGCGTGCAGCTCAAGCCCTTGCCATCTCCGCCGGTGCCTCCATGTAGGGCCTCATGCCTTGGAAGCCAGCGCTGTAGACAGACCTCAAGAAATACAAAGTTTTCAAAGCGAGCGTAAATATGCGGAAAGAAGGCGTCTGAAAAACCATGTCACAGAGATCTAAACAAAGCCTGGTCAGTTATCCGATGTGATCCAGCTTTGCAAATGGTTCCACAAAGCATCACAAAGCCATGTGTCAAGCGTAGCTTGCCCTTGCTGAGATCCTAACAGGCTTGAGTTGGAGTCCTGTGAGCTGCACAGCTTCTGCTGTCATTGCATGGGCAAGTGCCAAATGAAAATGTCATGAATACTTCCACAAGTCGTCCACAAGTCGTCTCAGATTCCTGACATATAAGGCGACAAGAGATGACAAGAGAATAGAGTATCAGGTGGCTCCTCTGTCACTCCGAGGGTGTCCCCATCTGTGTTCTCACTGTTTCAAGGAAGACTAAAAATGAAAGCTCCCAATCAGCGAAAATCAAACCATTGATTGATTGCCATTGATTTTCATTGAATGTTCATTGACTAAAATGAAGCACACAATGCAGCTGTCATGGCCAAAAACGCCTTGGGCCACATCGCTGTTGAAGAGGCCACTCGCACTGGTGTGGCTGGTGCTGTGGGGGTAGGAGCCACCGTGACCACTGGCGTCTCAGGCAACTGCGCAGCGGCAAATTTGGACTTTGGGAAGTGTGAGAAGCAACGTACATAAACTTGTAAAGCCGTAAAGCCAGTAAGCCGCGAACCTTTGAATACTATATTCTTTAAGCAATACAACCCTGATCGTTTAAGCTGATTATTTGGCTCGCTTCTAGGATAGTGTGTCTTAATTCGGGACTGTAGGAGTTCGCAAACTTGACACACTCTGGGGGTAGTCTTGAGGGTCATAATGTGCACATCTGGCTCAGTTAGCCTGAAGCAACAACATAGTCAAGCTAAATGTGGGATAACAGCGCACCATGCGCACCTGTTTGGGTCGTTCTTGTGTTGTTCCCCGGGACTCAAACGCAATACCATAGCCACTGTTGCCAGAACGATCGTGGGCTGGCTCCCTGCCACGCTTGGAGCTTCGTTTTCCTGTCCTCAGTAGCATGGTGTGATATCGTAAACTTCGTAAACCATCCAGCAGAAACCTGCGTCAAATCCTGAACACTCTTTGCACATAACACACTTCCCTGAGCGTCCATGCAGCTACAAAACAAGCAGTTCGTGCCAGGTCTGACTGGAAAAACAAACATGGATATACAGATACATGGATACTCTCATCACACTCGATGATATTCTGACTATTTTGAAAAAATGTAAAATGGTTCGGCAGAGAAACATGGTCATGAAATGTCATGAATTCATGTCTGTAACCTGGCCCGGCGTCTGCTTGTTGAGCGCCAACTCCAACATCTTCACCACACTGTTGGGTCCTTTGATGTAGATCCTTGCTTCATTTTGCTGCATGATTTCGTGCTTTGAGGTCACGCTTTGGGGCCACGTGCAAAAAACGACAACGGTTACACCGTAAAAGTTATACCCCCTCAAATATTGATAACCCGTGGGGTTCCCAGCTACTTTTTGTAAACCAACTTTAGAGAAAATTAGTCTCTATAAAATCCATTCCACACCCCACTTCTACAATATTTACCCGCAGAACCTAACGTTCGCCCAAGATGACATAATATATCTCATTTTTCCCATAGACTTAACATGTTTCATCCGCGGGTCTAACCGCATTGCAAGGATGGACGGTACACTAGGTGTGGCCCCTCGCCACGCATACGACACAAAATTTGCTTCATGGTTCGTTTCACAACAATTTGCGGCAACAACTCTTCGCAGCACGCAGACTTCGTGGGGGTCTGTGGAAAAAAAGGGCAGGTTCGTGCGAGAAAACACGGGCTCTGGGCAAACGTCCGGTTCTGTGCGAATATTTAATACTTCTGTGTAGAATGCCACTCTATAGAATGCGCAAACACACACACACACATACACACCCAACCAGCCACATCCCAACACCGAATCCTCTATAGATCGCTCCAGGTCTTAAAATCTTTTTCAACATCCCAAAACCGGAGGAAAAAGATCAGTAAAAAATGATCAGACTTTACACAACCCAGAGCGGACCTGATTTTTTAGTGGAAATATTCAGGAGAATCCTGTTATCTTAAAATCACAGCTTGGATGATACGTGTGGGAAATAACCACAAACTGCGTGGCATATTGCTGTTTGAGAAATCAAGTCGTTTCGATAAATCAAGGTGAAATAACCATTACGATGGGTTCATTGCAAGGATCCACTAGGAGCCCCTGCTTTACAAGCCTTTAAATTCCTGTGTCCAGGGACATCTAACATCTTTCTTCACCCGGACCCCAGGCGCTTGAGTGTAAGCAAGTTGCCGTTGCGGCAGTGTGGGGATTTCTTCTGCATCGTCAAGCACCTGGCAAGTCTCAGCAGTTTCAACTGGTTTGTATGTACGTCACTTCTACTTTCAGTTTACGTAACTGCACATGTGATGAGGAATTATACAGTGATGTGGACCAGGTAGTATGTAGGTCTCACTTGGAGCAAAACATCTAGCTGGTGTTTATGTAGAGTGCAGGCTGCAGATGGGTACTGTAATTTCAAGGATAGTGCATGCTTAGGCGTTGGCTGTTATCAAGGCAGTAGGAAATTGAAAGGTCGTGAGGCAATGGCGGGCAATAGGCAGCACTTGCCTACTCGTGTGTTTGTACATTTTGACTTGGAAATGTGCTTCGCGCCACAACGGCATGCGCTTTTTCATCATCTCAACTTACAAAAGTGCTCCGAACCTGGTTCGCTTTGCGCTTTTTGACTTCGAAATGTGCTTCGTGCCACAGCGGCGTGCAATTTTTCATCTCTCATCCGGCCAGGTGGCTCTGCACCCGCCGCTTTAGCGAGCCTACTTTTCGACCCTCCGGAGCCACAAATCATTGGAAATACACACTTTAGGTGAATCACGACTTTTCTACCTTTTCGCGCACCTGCATCTTCTTTCTTCAGACTCTTTCTCTTTTATGATCTCTCTTCTTCCCTTCTCTTCTCTGACTCTTACCACCTCTACTTTTCCATCTGTCCATATTGTCGGAACTTTGACTTCTAAACTTCCTTCGACAGTTCCTAGAGTCTTTAACGATACGATACTTGATTATCCCCAGCTATGTTCTTCCCACCCCACAGTCATGAGATTGAGGTTCCAGACATGCGTCCTCTCGAAGCAATAGCACTGAAGTTTTGAACTGTACCTCAGCTTTCCAAACAACATGCTACAAAGGCATCCACAGCCATGCAATAACCCGATATGACAGGCACGAATCTCAAATAGAAGTTTTCTGATTTAGAAGAATCACGCTTCGTTGGGCACTACCATCAACTCTCGTCATCTCTCGTTCACTGGAGTCAAGAGTGCCTGTGCATGTGGCATGTGTGTGTGTGTGTCAGCATCTTGTCCATGTGTGGTCCATGAGTGTGTAATTTGTGATCCCTGTGTACGTGTTTGTCTCAGGAAGTCGGTTGAACGGGCTGGAATTGTCATTTAGATGCTTTGGCTTGCGGGCATCAAAATCCTGATAGCGGGAACAACGGATTTTGTTCAAAGAGATGGCAGGAACTACAAAGAGGAGCAACAAAAATCCAAGAACCAATAGTATCGGATAGGGGCACAAGACAACTGATCTCTTGTTTACTTCGCTGCAGTGAAAGTCACTTCAAGAGTCAAAAATAGTGTCGTCCAAAGTTTCTCGGCAGATTCCAAGATGTCCAAGATGCAGGATCTTATCTCCAAGACATCCCTCTCCGAGCATCTGCTTCCACTGCCCCACAGTACATGCATCAGGCACTGGGACCTCAACACCTCGCAGTGATGACCAGCTGGGAATCCCCTGTTTGATGCACAATGACCACACAGATGAAAGCAAACGAAAGCGAGAATCAAATCAGAACTAAGTTCAACGAAGTTCTGCATATCTATATAAATTATATAAAGAAGTCGCATGCTTTGCATGGAACGACAATAACATGCTGCAAATATTACATTATTACATATATCGGCAGATATCCGCAAATTGTTTCTACACCAACTCACATGTCTTCAGCTTTCTTCATGTTTCACTGCATCAGTATTTATAGTTGCACTTAGTCGTTCCATTTGAAATCCTGCTCCACTGGGAAATCCGGCTCACAGGCTCCACTGTGACATCCACCACAGGCATTAAATCCCTGACAGCATGGCACTGCACTTTAGAGAATCAAGTCGACCAAGTCTCAGTGATTCTCAGTGGCTGAGAACAGTCTTGTCCCGTGCATGAGAGCAGCAATGCTTCTCGCTGCTTCAACGCTCCAGAAACAATGAACTCAATCAACATCTCAAGATCATTGTGCCATTGTGTCCCACCCTCCAGGCCTCGAGGGAAGACGATCACGGCTTCACAAACGCTGCTGGAAACCAAAAGGAAGGCAAGGCGTCCCGAACCATGGCTTCTTGGTGTGTCGCATGAAATAAAGACTTGTTGGTCAGGCAGGGTGCACCAAGACTGAAATGTGTTTTGCATTGAAAAGGTCTGCATCACTATGCATCCAAGTGAGCTATTTGAGAATTTTGACGGGTTGGCAGCAAATAATCGAAGAATTTGGTTTCACCACACTTGGGTTTCAGATTCGAAGAACATCGTTGGCACTCTGCAGACTCTGCAGACTTTGCTACGGCTGTCTGTGACTTCAGTGTCTATCTCATTTGTTTAATTTAATGTTCTCTTTGGGGGCTGCATCCAGGGATATCTTTACGTATCCCCAACCTCCAGTACACTCTGCAAGTTTACAGCGGTATCCGTGGTATCAGTGGTATCAGTGGAAGCTGATTCGTAGGCATGTTATGTTGGCATGGCAATTATGCAGCGATATTCACCGAGGACTTGAAGATTGCCAGTGGCAACAGCTCAGCCAGGACAGTGCGACGAGTGCGATGTCTCGAGCAGCTCTTGGTGTACTTCCGGACTGTTGCACCAAGTCAAAGGCAGGTCATCTTACGGACACCTTCTGCCAATCTGCTTCAAGCCCTGGAAATAAACTTCAAGAAACTCCAAGAGAGTTCTATGAACCCAAGCACGCAATGTTCAATTTCAAGGCATACAATGTTTCTTACTAAAATAGGCCAAGATAGGCCAAGCACCATTCCTTCAGAATGTTTCGAAACTTGCCAGCCACAGATTGTATAAATGTTGTCCTAACACTTTGAGGAACGACTGCACATTTGACCAGTACAATTCATTGCATGCTTAATGCTTAGATTTTTCTGTCATGCTATTCCTTGCAAGGCATGATATCAAGTCTTCCTGTTCAAAGTCTGTTCTTCCTTGCCATCTGAAAACTGTGGGATTGGGCTCCGTGGGTGGAATGCAAAGAAACGAATGAACCATCTTTGCTATTGATTTCTTGATTTAATCTTCATGTTCTTGACTTTCTTGTCCTTGGTTTTCCTGAGCATGATATCCTTTCACGTGCCTCGCATCTTCAGGTCGCAAAGGCCTTCGAGCGCCTCAGCTTGCACCGGATTGCACCCCGTGGTGATACGCCTGTCCCGAAATTTTGTTGAAATGTTTGCTGCATCCAAGAAACATTAGCAACCTGATAATGATACTATCATGCTGAACGGGCCTCTCCAAGAGACTTGAAAAGGACCACTGATACAATGGCTCAACATTGCCATCAGCGCAAGTCAGACGTTCACTCTCAGCTATCAAGCTACATCTACACATTCGTACCGCATTGTAAAGAAACTTCGGACCTTTTCAGTCAGCAAAAGAAAGGTCACAACAGTTCAAAACTTCTGCGAGAAAAAGTCAGGAAGTGTTGGAGAGGCAGTTAATACCGTCTATCTCTGCAGCACTTGTTTGCAGAAAGCACCAGTCCTGACACATGATACTCATTCACAGCCTGAAATGAACCATTTAGGGCATGATCTCACTTTGCAAGTGGAACCACTAGTCGCCCAAGGCTCCCTGCCGGCTAGCTGAGTGGCTGGCAGCCTCAGAGGGTGCTGCACTATGACCCACATTGGATCCCACACGTGTCACATGAATGCATGAGATTGCATTAGATTATATTGAGTGTGTCGGTCGGATTCTGTGGATGTATCTAGCCTGGTGGTGTTAATTCCATGTTCCTCCAAACGGTGATGTGCCATGATGTCAGTGCGTTCAAAGTGTTTGGTGTGTGTTTTTCTGCTACCTCATCATCATCAATCATGTGGACATACGTATGTGTCATACGCATGTATTGTATGGTACGGCACTGGTATGGTATGGACACATACATGTAGTATTTGCCTTTGCCTGCTAAACCCAAAATCATGATCAACTCGCCAAGCCATGGTTGCGAGGAAAGTCTGATTTGCGTGCTCCACCCACAAATGGGAAGCCCTATTACACCCCATTTTGGAAACTCAATGCGTTCACTTGCTTTGTTGCGTTTAGTTGGGGGAAAGATTTCTGGAAGTCGGTGCGTGCTGCGTCCAGGTGGTGTTTTGGAAGACATGTTTTGGAACATTGATATTTTTACCTGCGTTCTTGTAGGTTCGGAATTTCCCTAATGCGTCAGTTCCATTGGGAATTGGATTGTGTTGGGTTTTCCCCTTTTGAAATTTGGAGATGCGGTTGTGTTGAAATGATGAGGGGGGGTTGGTGGCGAGGGGTTCCTTTTTCCCATTTTACGGTATCGCCGGGGTATCGCCGGGGTATCGCCAGAGTATCGCCAGAGTATCGCCGGAAGTACGTGAGTTGTCTTGCCTTGTCTTGGTCCTGCTGCTGCTGTTGCTGCTGCTTACCTTCCCACTACCGAGCTGCGCGCGCCACATGGGGTTGCGCCTGTATCTTTGGTTGGTCGCTTCAATTTGACTGTAGTCGTGGTGAAACTTGCGTCCCAGTGTGTTTTTCAACAAAATCATTCAAAATAGCCTAAAACAATGATGGCATAGATGCAGCGTCCACAATATGATTCCTAATTTTAGAGCCATGAAAAGCACCGAACATTAAATGAAATAGATGATTGCTGGCGCACAGATTCCCATGCTGATTTGCATAATTTTGCACTGACTTCTGTGACTTCCTGAATGCGCAGCGTCCCATTGTGATTTGTTTTCAAAGAGACGGTGCACTGACTTTCCCGACTGGATGTGCACTGGTATTACACGAAGACCGGCCAGCACCACCAAACAAACGAGGGGGCACAACGTTGTACCTATGCACTCAATTGACTTCCTACACGGCTGACAGATCACCAACAGCGTAGTCATGCTGCAGCTGTAGCAATTTCCTGAACTGCTTTGTGGATGTTGTGCAAATTTCCTTCTGATCATGATTGCTTCCAGTCTAAATTGAACTACTTGCACGGCAAAAAAATGGAAAACTGGCTGACCACGATAGCCCTACAACGCTTCCAGCACTACTTCCCTTTAGCGTCCAACTTGTTCCTTGTGTTGTAGCTTCCAACCTCAGCCATATGCAGCATATGCAGCATGTACATTGCCATGGGACTGATGGGATTGGTGCAAAGTGTTGCAAATGACATCCTACAGCTCAGTACAAGCACCCACGCTGCTCAAGTCCCACGAAATTAGCTAAGCACGGATTTGCACAGTGTCATCCGTGCAAATCTATGCAAATCTCCCAACTTTTCATCCTGGGATTCACATTGCGGCCCTTGGAAAACTGCTGACCACTCTGCCCCGAACTTAGCTCCTGGCATTGTTCTGTGGACCAGAAGTGCCAATCTTCCACTTAGCGGTTTGGCTTGATACAAGAGCTGCATTTCATTCGGCATAATTCCCCCTCATCGTTTGTAGTATAGTGGGATAGGCTTCAAATGACAAGGCTCAACAGTGTCGTCCGAGTTGTTTGTCGATGCCTTGTCCAGGACCTCTGAGGAACCCATGAAATGGCTGCCATTGAAATACCACTGCTCCCGGAGCTGCTCCCGGAGCTGCTCCCTAGACTTGCCCAAGCTGGCTGTCCCGGCTCTGTTAAACCACTGTCCTTAGCAACGGAGATTGTCCCTTGACGTCTGAAGTGTATACAGCAGATTTTCACAAGTTTGTGTTGCAAGGAAACCATGGGCCTCGTGGTCACATTCTTGACACCTTGCAACAAGGTCTGGCATAAGGTGAGTATCGACAGTATCGAGCACATCCGAGGGCACATCAGCCCCAACACAACTATCACAAGGATCCATATGGATCCATATGGATCCATAAGGATCCATAAGGCACTATACCTCAACACCTTGGGCAATACCGAATAACCGAGACTGCACCTTCCAATCAAGTTTCCTCAACATGATGAGTCTTTATACAGCACTCTGAACTACCCTGAACCTCCAAACTTCCAACCACCTCTGACGGCATCCTGAAGCAGAACCAGCACAGTCCAAAGTTGAAACCAAGGAGTGTTTCAACCGTTTCCATGCCACTCCGGCCCACGTCATCCCATTTTGACTGCGGCTGAGCAGCGTGTGTGCTTGGCCCAGCCAAAAGGATCGACATAAAGCACTGCCCTAAAGGATCGCGGCAGCACCTTGGCAAATCCCCGAAGCGAAGAGACAGAAAAGCGGAAAGGCCCTGCAAGCAACAAACGAAGATATACAATTTTTATACAATGTAAAATTTGAAAGTTTTAGATATACAATTTATACAATGTACAAACAGCGGTATGATTACGGTATACGTATCTCAAATGTACACGTTCCCTTGGTCATTGGATCGGTATCGTGTTTTTTGAGTGCGAAGTTCCATGCACAAGTCTCAGTCTTGTGAAGCGGCCAAAAAAACATTTCCATGTGTTTCAGGCTTGTGAGCCACCCTTCCACATCCTTTCAGCCATGAGCAACTCATGGTTCATAACAGTTCCTCTGGGTTTCCCAAGCTGCGCCGGTCTGATGCTCACGACAGTGAAACACGTGGAGGTAATAGAGGAACCAGCAGCCCTGATCGCGCATTTCAGTCGCTGCAAAAATTTGCTCGGACAGATCTAAGGAGATTGCCATGAAGATGTCTACTGAGCAGTGTGTAAATTGAAATGAGATAGATGAGATAGTGAAAAAACTGCAGGGCATCGCAGCTTTACTGAGATACCGCTGAGGTACCTGTTATGTCCCCGGGATTTTGCGGGGGGTTCTTCGCGTTCTTCGGGTTCATGATCCTTGAATCCTCCGGTGGTTTTCATCCAGTTCGGCCTTCAAGAAGAGGCCAATGGGGACGAGGTATTCAATATCTCAGTGCGCAGGAACTCAGAATGCGCAGAGTTGGTTCAGAGCAAAATGAAAGCAAAAAGTTACATCGAAAACTCATGAAAGTTTCTGAGAGATTTTGAGAGTTTTTGTAATTTATGTAAAAAAAATGTATCACTTGCAGTTCATCTGGTCAAAAGCAGGCAATGGAACTGATAAATCCAGAGTTGCAGCTTGGTTCCCGCACTTCCTGGATTTCCAACGTGTTTGGAAGAGATAAAAGTTACCACCTGGGTGTTGCGAGTCGTCCAATCACATGCAGTTAGGGTTCAAAACACACAATGCCAACTTTGAAAAGTAATGAAGTCAGAATTCAGAAGTCAATTCAAAAAACAATAACAATAATAACATATAATAAGAAGAATAATACATATACAATTTTGATCAATTTTGAATGTGATTTCTAGAAATTAGAAAACCAAATCTGCTACGGTAAATCCTTGCTTCGTGCTACTCAACCTGTTTTGGAGTCAGCAATCGTTTAGCCTTTCGAGCCACAGTGCCAGAAAAATGCAAAACAACAGCAAAGGACGAGTTTTTAAAAAGGGGTCCAGCAATGACCGGCAATGACCGTAAAAATATCAAAGCTCCATACATTCAAAGGTGTTTTGAGCGTACCTGAGCTACACCTACAGTTAGCACTGCGGCGGAGCAAAAAGACTGGACCTGAAACCGAAACGGCGTCTCAGGTGGTTTGCAGGATCTGAATGCGATAGTGGTCAGGTCACTGTTGGTATGCTGGACGGGTAAAGGATAAGGGGCGACTCTGGGTAACAGACGAATGACTAATGTCCAAAATAAGGCGCTTCACCCTCAACAAAGAGCCGTCACAGTGACCCGGTTCCAAACTGCTCAGCAACAGAAGCAGCGCAGGCGCCTGCCTAGTGCTTAAATCGTTAGCAGGCACTAAAACTCACAGCCAAGATATCGCTGCAAGTTGAAAAAAAGGAGGATTCTTGACCAAAAAGCAAAGGTGGAACCACACCCAGCAGTTTAGGTTTGTCACAAAAAGCTCTGTGAGAACTCTGCGATGAAGATTGTTTGATCTCCATTTGGTTACTTGTCAATTCTACCCCAGCTGCATCATATCATGACTGTCAGGGGCCTTGTTGACCACCGAGCAGAAACAGCAGAGACGATGTCTTTTTCCATGTCCCCACGGAACTCAATGATCAGTTCTTCGCTTGGGGATGGTTTGAGCTAGTGCCAGGAGGCCATCCTGGGATTTCGAATACCATGGCGGTTTGTCTGACATCACACTGCCTACCTTGACTGCGACTGGCCGACTGCATGTCATCTCCAAATCATGTCATTTGCAAGAATTGCCTTTCCGTTTTTAAGTGCCATGAGCGACAAATCATATCAATGGACATCCACTTTTGTGGGAAAACCAACGGACTGGCTGCACTGTGGGAATTTTGTCCCAAAATTTGAATAGCTTGTATCGACGACAAAATTTGGGACACTGTTATGTATTGAAACGTTGATAGTTTTGCAGTTCCTTTGTTTGCCATACCCGGATTGTGGCAACCCATCCTTGATCTGTGCCAATTCCACTTCCTTGGTAGATGCAAAGTTTGCCCGCCCAGCAATGGCCATACACGCCCCTTTTTCCTGCAAATGCAGTGGGCTGTATTGTTTTTTTCAATTGTTTGGTTGAAATTGTTGACATGTCAATAGGCGTTGTTTAAACGCAGCAAATAGCTGAGACGCTGGTGAATTTATTGTTTGACTTCTGCCAGCTAATTTGCTTCAGATCGTTGGAAACGTTTGCCACCATGTTTTTCATGTTTTGCACAATTTGCATGTCGGTATTGATCCAATAATTATGAAGATCATGTCACAACGCCATTCCCAAACAAACTGCTACCATCTTACTCTCCGGTTTGGATACCAAGTCTCCAAGTAAGGCGTAAGTCTGAAATTTCCCTCGATTCTTGATTTGCCACGTTTGGTCGTGGGTTATCCGAGCACCAGCTGGAAAATTGTGGTCGCTGGGGTTTTCATTTGGGTGGAGCGAGCTGGGAACATCGAGTTGGGTTGGGGGGTCAACAAGTCTCTTCGTGTGTTGAGTCCTGCCGGCCACAAACATCTCACATTGCATTGGAAAATGGAGCGCGTTGCCCGCACAACACATGCTAGCAGCAACTCCGCCATCCCAAGTCCGAACCTTTCAGCTGAGAAACTTGGAGATGTCGATAGCTTTGGCTTGGCCACGAACGCGAAGACATCCCATCAATAATTCTTCCATGTCTACAGCACCGCTTTCGTCCTGTGTCAAACACGACGCCCCTTCTTGCAAATTTGCATGATGGGTCCCATGGCTGCTGGTGGCAGGGCGGGCTGCCCGGAAATTCATTAAAAGTCGGCGAAGTAGCAAACGTTAAGTCCAAGCAAAAGCAGAGATCACCCAAGTCTCAACCCTGAACTCACTCAGAGGTCGCGCTGCCTCTTCTCTCTTCACTGAAGCGCTCCGTCTTGGGCGTGCAGTGCGTGCATGCATGCCATGTTGGATGGCCTCGATCTCGATCTTCAAACCCTCTGTTGCATTGGTGAAGTAATGTAATGAAGGTCACCTATTCACATCATGGCATAACTTTACAGGCTTGCTACTTTCGCCTGAATGCTGCGCACTGAAATCTCACATCTGTTGGCAAGGAAATTTAAAGACCTTCTAGCTGCATCTGCAAAATCCTGACGGCACGCGCAGACTCGCATACAGAAAATGCTGGAAGTCAACCGCTCCTTGCGCTTGCTGCCGCCCAACGTGGTTCTTACGACGTGCGGGACCTCCAAGTTCCGATGTGACCGTCTGAGCTACGACGAGCAATGACAGCGCAGGATCGGATTGAGGTTTTGCAATGTGAAGAGCAAACCTCACAAGTTCACCTGCGGCATAGACATAGACGGAGTGGGCTTGCTGAGAACCACAAACGCAAGGTCAGGTCCAGTCATGACATCATGCACATTTACCTATGCCACTTGCTTGCTATTTTGAGAACCGCTGGTGAAAAAGTATATAATCGCACTGAAGCAGAGGTTGCTTCAGGCAAAGCTGCTTCAATTGACCCTGCCCTGACTTGGGCTGCGTGACCTGGGCTTCGCACAAGTCTTACACCAGCTACAGAACGGTATGAGCGTCACCTCCTGGCCTGCGCGCCCCGGGGGCGTAGACCCCCATTGCGACCTGAAGTGTTTTTGGAACAGGGGCATGCGAGTCTACTTCAGCTTCTGCGGGCGGATGTGGGTCAAGAACCTCTTCCTCGATTTTGCTGCTTGGGGTCAAACCTTGAGAAGTGAAACCCATGTGACGTGAGCTGACGCCTTGAAAGTGTCACTATATATACTATTCGGCCTTTCCAGGCGCCAGCATCAAAGTGAGACGCTCTTCACAAATGTTGTATAAGTGCAGGCCTGAGTCTGACAGCACATAAATGAAATCTAGTGCAACAATGTGGCGCATCAAGCCAAAACTCATTATTGTACAATGTACAAGTTCCTGTTGAGGGATCTCGTTCACCAAGGTATTGACAACACACTTCTTCACTACATCACAATCACGACTGGGCGCAGCAAGTCAAGCTAGTGGTAAAGCTACGAAACCCAGCTAGCTTGGCCCTGGTTCGAAGCTACTGACGACTTGGAAATATTTGAAGTGCTTGTGACTGGGGCGACCTTTGGAGCTGGAAGCGTCGACTGCTTGCCTTGTCTGAATCCTGCTGGAATGGAATTCAAGCGGGCTTCGGTTCTTCCTTTCTAAGTTTCTCAAAATTCTGCTTCGGGCCGCTGGAAATTTTCTAGCTGTCCTGAGTCACAGGCTTCGTTCGATCCTCAAAAGAGATGAACGTCACGAACGTCTTGTGCTTGGCTGCGGCAGCTCCTGCACTGTACACAAGTTCCTTCTCGGTCTGGTGGAATAGAACTGCCAACAGTCAGCATAATAGCGAACAGGTTTGAAAGAACCAGAAGTTGGCGCCACAACGTCTTCTGGGATGTCGTTTTTTGAAGTGCTTGTATTCGGTTTGTGCTTATGGCAAATGCCACAAACAGATTGAAAATCATGTGTTGGATTCCTGACTTGCAAGTCACATGAACAGCAAGGAAGCGCTGGTGAAGTTTGGCCCCCTCACTGCGGGGACACGTCACGCGCGACAGAATCAATGAGTTCTACCTGGTACCCCCATGAACAAGAAGTCCGGGTCTTGAGACCGAAGGACGCTTGTTGTCCCTTGCGAAAGAGCTGCCTTCAATCTGACACTTCCTACTGCGATACGGTACATCCTCAAGAGTTGGCCTGTCAAGGTCCTAAGTGCCGGTTTCAACCCTGCAATGGGAAGAAGTGATAATTCAGGTGCGGAGCTATTTGGATAACAGCGCAGCTTCTCCAGAATGAAAAGGTCCAAAAAAAGTTTCAGGCGTTGAACAAACAGTGAAAGTGCACAGTGTTGTCAATCAATTCCCCAACACAAACAAACCAACGCAAAGATATCACTCGTTGCAAGGCCAATGGCCATTAAAGTTCTTACTGCGAAATATCACATGTGATTGCTGCCATTAACATAGAGGCGGCACTCTGAGTAGGTGCTCGCCTTGGCTATAGTGCTTGCGGTGCGCTCTAACGGGGTTTGTGCACCAGTCCCCAAGTGGCACTGCTTCCGCCAAGTCCAAGAGGAGTCCAAAGACCGGTCATCCCATGAAGTCCTGCCATCGTCCTAAGTCCGCCAACCGTCAAGGTTGTCACCATGCACAAACCACCAACTGTCATCACCCCATGATTCATCAAACTCACCGAAGTAAGCTGAGCTGGGTCATCTGTTGCAATCTGCTCGCTCCAGGCTCTCATTCCATGAAGTTTCATCTGCATCATTGTTCTTACCTGCTCTACCTTCCTTTGACGTGTGTCCAGGGCGAGCCACAAGTGTAGCGAACAATGCTACTCTTTCTGTTTCCTTTTTTTGGAGAGGACCGAATCCGTTTTTGTTTTCCCTTTGGCCCTTTGGCCATTGGAAGCGCTTGCCTGTGCCTTTGCATTTTCTTTTGATTTTGACGAAGTTCCAGTGGCTAAAGTTTCTCTCTTCGTTTGCCTTTGTATCCTTTATCTCGAAATTCCTCCCCTTCCTTTCGCCACTCCTATGTACATGGGGGCCACACATGGATCCGAAGAAGTCAGGATGCGCATCGACTTGAAGTACTGGACCAGGAGGGTGCGAAAGGTGCGCCGGGTGCACTGGATGCGCTTAATTGGCTAAGTGTGCGAGAAGATGTAAGGGCAGATGCAAGCGAACATTCTGTAATGTAGCGTGGAGTATGAGTCTAATGCAAAGGCAATTTGAACAGCATGGAGCAAAGCATCAACTCTGTGTGGGGGAAGGTGGTCTCGTTAGAAATAGCAAAGCTTCATCGATAACATCCAAAACACGTGTTTCACGTGCTGACTAGCATCGCTTCCGAGTCTAAGTGGAAGATGCAAGCATCCGATCATCTGCAACAGCTGGTTTTCTTAGCCAGCCATGCATGGTTTAGATGACGGACCTTCTGTTTCCGGTTGTCTGCAGGCCTACTAAGCTACTGCCATGTGTTGATGACTCTGTGATCTGGGAAAGCAAGCGGGCGACATCCATTCTTGATTCTTCCGCGTTCATCTTCTGTATAGAATCATAGAATCTATAGAATCTTGGGCTGCAAGCAGCAAGGTTGACAAGGAATCTGCTTAGCTGCCATATTGCGTCATCTCCAAAAAGTGAAAAGCAATCATTTTTCTGTGAAAATACATCCTCAACGCGTTGCTTTACCAAAATTAAAAAATGCAACATAATGCAACTCTGTCCTCCCATACCCCGAACACCCAGGTTCCAAACAGCACAGAACACTGGGGAGAAGAAGAGGAAAATTGAACCTTTGAGCCGTCGAATTGGCGAATCTGTCATTACTCTGCGACAACACATCACGAAGCTATCTCTGCCTTTTAGATACCAGTGCTATCTGTCGCCCTTCTATTTGTTATACATCGCAGCCTGGCAATCCAACAGCAATGAGGGTTCGGGTTCCAGATTCCAGGGTTCCATTCGATTTTGAGTGCTTTGCATCCGTGATGCACGAGTCCCAGACTCACAAACTGAAACCACAGAAGGCCTGCTGTTGAAGAAGATTACAAGATATTACAAGTCTTTGGAAGAATACGACAAAGTTGCTTTGCTATGCTTTGCTATGCTTTGCTATGCTTTGCTTGTCCCAAATCCCGGGTTTGATTCTGAGCGGAGATCCTACGAAGTAGTTGCGCGCAGAGAGGATCTGATCCGTGCGCAGCAACAGCAGGGTGATGCCACAAAAGACAAACATTCCTTGCACGCAAAGATGTGAATGTGTTGGGTTGGTACTCTTGCGGTGAAGCACGTGATATAGCTTTTAGGAACTGTGGCTGCGATTCTATGATCATCTCTTCTCGTTCAAAACAGTAAATTGAAACCAAAACAGGCACCTTCGTACCTTTCTTTTGTGCAGAACTAATACGGACTGATGTACGGATATGATGTTTTGCATTTCATATTTCCGGACATCTTATCTAATGTATTCTAGTGTTCTGGCAACTCACATGGATAAGGATGTCTTTCTCATTCAAGGCTGTGCAAGGCCAAACCAGCACCAGTGCCCCTGTGTAAAGGCCATCGGCGCTTATCAAAAAGTGCTCCGCCCAATGGCCCAGGCCCCGTCCTGCCCATGCAGCCACTGGCGCGGCTAATTCAGTACAAACATACGCAAGACCTGAGGCGAAAAGATGCCAAAATTTGCTTGAGAATGCTTGAGAATGCTTCATGAGAATGCTTGAGAATGCTTGAGAATGCTTCATGAGAATGCTTGAGAATGCCTGAAAATGCTTGAGAATGCTTGAGAATGCTTCATGAGAATGCTTGAGAATGCTTGAGAATGCTTTAGAATGCTTGAGAATGCGTCATGAGAATGCTTGAGAATGCTTGAGAATGCCTGAAAATGCTTGAGAATGCTTGAGAATGCTTCATGAGAATGCGTCATGAGAATGCGTCATGAGAATGCGTCATGAGAATGCGTCATGAGAATGCGTCATGAGAATGAGTCATGAGAATGCTTGAGAATGCTTGAGAATGCTTGAGAATGCTTGAGAATGCTTGAGAATGCTTGAGAATCCTTGAGAATGCTTGAGAATGCTTGAGAATGCGTGAGAATGCTTGAGAATGTTTGAGAATGCTTGAGAATGCTTGAGAATGCTTGAGAATGCTTGAGAATGCTTGAGAATGCTTGAGAATGCTTGAGAATGCTTGAGAATGTTTGAGAATGCTTGAGAATGCTTGAGAATGCTTGAGAATGCTTGAGAATGCTTGAGAATGCTTGAGAATGCTTGAGAATGTTTGAGAATGCTTGAGAATGCTTGAGAATGCTTGAGAATGCTTGAGAATGCTTGAGAATGCTTGAGAATGCTTGAGAATGCTTGAGGATGCTTGAGAATGCTTAAGAATGCTTGAGAATGCTTGAGAATGCTTGAGAATGTTTGAGAATGCTTGAGAATGCTTGAGAATGCTTGAGAATGCTTGAGAATGCTTGAGAATGCTTGAGAATGCTTGAGAATGCTTGAGGATGCTTGAGAATGCTTAAGAATGCTTGGGAATGCTTGAGAATGCTTGAGAATGCTGGACATGCAAATGATGATGTCACTGATGTCTCCTTGTTCACACGACCGGATGGCCAACGATGCCACTGCCAAAATTCAAGTCACCCAGGCAAAAGCAAGGTCTCAAATCCGTGCTATGGCTATGGCGGACGAATAAGTGTCTTAGCAAGCCAAGAAACAATAGAAGCAGAAGAATGTGGCCAAAGAGCTAGTTCCAGCCTCAGAAAAGGGATCGAGCCAGAATGCCAATTATCTGAACATCCTCGCATGGAGACAAGCCCGCGGAGCTTCACAACAGCGATTCCCCATTCCACGCCGAATCGAACTCGGGCACCCTGTCGCTCATGGACACGCGGCAGAAAGCATCATATGTGTTGAAAAACCTGCAAGCGTAGTGCAAGAGTCCAAATGGCGAACTGCAAATACCGGTGGTGAGCTGTCTGTAAGGAAATCATGGGAAATAAATGACGCATTATATACTAATCTCATCTTCCCAACTTGTGCGGCAAACATATGACAGGAGCACTTGGCAGCTTCGCGGATCAGGAACACATGGCGCCTCAGTTTTTTCATAAGGCAGAGCACGCGAATCCAGCCTTGCTCTAGAGAAAATGGAATAATTTACCGGTCCAGCCCTCCTGTCTCAGTAATGCTTTCAGGATGCTCAACGGTACTTGTGTTGGCATATTGCAACCTCCGCGCTCTGCATGGGATCCCAATAAGTGCTTGCAAAGGGGTAAGCCCGTGCTGCTGTGACACAAAGACTAGCCACTGTTTCTCCACCGCGTTGTTCACGTCTGCTTGGAGCTCGGGTGTATCTGCGGAGTCGGACCAAGCCTTTGAACCCAAAACTGGAGTCATTATGAAGTCATTTGAAGTTATGAACATAGCGACTGCAGCGACACTGATCGCTACAATTGGGTACCAAACAATGTCCTGCTTTCACCCTGAACCCAGGAGAATCAAGATAGCTTTCTGAAGTTAGGTTCGACATCTAATCCCCGAATCCTGCTTGTGTAATGATTCATCTGTGGGGCGAGCATTGTTTCTTTCAGCAGTCTGGTGACTTGTGAAATTCTTTTCCGGTGCTCGAAGGCGACACCGAGACCCGCCATCTGCCTTCTGCACTGCGCTCCAGGCCCCAAGGGTCCACAGGCCTGGCAAAGGCAGAACTGGCAGAAGTCAAAAAATTTCACTCCTCACATCTCCTGAAAAAAAAATGAGCTGGAGTCTGGTCGGGCCCTGGGTAAATGTAGCCACTCTAATGCAATCAGTGACCCTGAATCCTGCATCAGACTGAAACAAAATTAAACCTGAAGTGGCGTTGGACGAAAGGGAAGAGGCGATAAATGTTTGCATGCGAGACCGGGAACTTATGCAAATCAATGGTACCATGAAAATCCTGACTCAATGCGTGTGCGGTATCTGAAAGAAGTCCACGGAGGTGAAGAGTGTTGAGAATACTGAAAGTCTCTCTGAAAGTCTCTCTGAAAGTCTCTCTGAAAGTCATTGACAATCTTTAAACTTCCGGATAAAATCCAAACATAAAATCCAGCATGTGAGGGTACACAAAGAACATAGTCGATGCATGGTCCAGCTATAGATGCAGAAGGTAGATGTACTGGTACACCCATAGATTCATAAATTCATAGATTGGTAGTACCAAAGCCATGTATCTATGTGTGTAGTATAGTATATAACTGTAGATACATTGCACTAAACTGCTTTTTTCCATGGTTGCTAAAAACTTTCGCAGAGTTGGTGTGGACGGCTCATAGCAATACAGAATGTTTCATCGCAAATGTTTATAATGTCCGCAATCTGATTGGGTTGTATTGCAGGTGCACTATGTAAATTGAACGCAAATCCAAAACTGGTGTGAAAGGTGATTCCGTACTCCAGCTTTTGAGTGGATGGCAAACGTTTACAAGTGATTCAAACCACGATTTTGATATCTTTTTCGGCTGCAGGACTCGAATTGCCCCAGGTATCCAAGAAACAAAATGAAAGAATCGCATCTTGCTAAAAGGAACACATCTCACACGCATACAGTTACAAATCAAAGAGACTTCAGCAATAATGAATAGACTTCGGATACATATTACAAGATCCTTTCAGCTGGAATTCTCTGGTTCAAATGTTATCTTCTCTGAAAACGAGAACACAACACAACAGTCATAAACAGTCATAAATAGTATAAACCAGCTGAAGCATGTGCTGACCAAAACTGGTGGTAATTGCTCAAGATGAACGTTATTTGATTGATTTTACCATGGAATACTATGGCGAATGAAGTATAATGAAGTATCTACAAACATGCATAGATCCGCATCCATCCCTTGGCCCCTTGGTCCCCCTTGCCTCGCATCACCTCCCTGAGGGCAAGTCAGGATATTGTCCACCGACTCAAATTTCCGTACACGTCGACCAAAGCGGATCTAGACCCTTCGCCCTTCACCACTGACTCATGGTCTGCAAAAAAAAACAATGTTCAATTTACAGTAGGCGACCAATTTCAGAAACTAGTAGTATTGGATTATACTGAAGCACTGCGTCGCAATTATTCTAGTACTTCGTCTGAAGCCTTTGCACAGCAGTCTACAGCTCTTACTGGTGCTATCAGAAAAGTAAATTTATCACATGGACCAGCTGTCCAGGAAGGTTAGAAATTCAAACATCAAGAGCACCAACTGCTCAGCGGGACTCGACTCAGCAATGAAGTCTTCCTTTGAAATCTCCCACCTGTTGGGTGACGAATCTCTCCTGCGGCTGTGTCGCCACAAGAAATCTGTCACGCAAAGCACCCTGCATGTGTGGGTGTGTGTGTTTGATGCATTTTGATGCCCCAGCTCATCTCCGGTACCCATTGGACTATCAGATCTACCCTTGGGCATAACAAAATGTTCGCGATTCAAAGTTGAATAGTCTGCATTGCCTTTGCAAATGGTGGAGTGCAACCCGATTGGACATATATAATGCTGGCATGTCAATGGATAGACGGTGATCCGACACTTTTGCCCCGTGTAAATATTCATACATCATAATTTTGCTCCACAAAGCTGACTGCTTCTCTTGTAAATCTGACAGCTCAGTCGTCTCCAACTTAACACGATGGACTCTGCTACTTTGAACATAGCATCATCCATTCTATTTCTTGAACAGCACTTAATCCATTTTGTATGTAATCGAATCACGAAGTGCCACTTCGCTCTAGTGTTGCATCTAAGGGCTCTGCGTAGAAATTTCCAGGAGGATTTGGTTGATTTCATTCAGCTACATTCAATTATATAATCAATATAATCACTGCGAATCATTGCCCTAAGACTTTCCTTCTGAGCCCCCTGTCTACTTCCATGGTCTTTTCATCAAAGTCAACCGAGCAGCACGCTTTCCGGTGAGAGAGAGAGAGAGAGCAAACGGCCCCACTCCAAATATGGATGTGAGCATATGTACGTACATTATGGCCTCTCGTGACATGTGCAGAGAGGCGAGATCATTGCAACGCTTGCTTGTTGCGAGCTCCGAAAAGGCACCCCATTGAGACTTGCACGGAAATCTTCAGGACTCAACCGTTCGATATCTGCCTCGACGGAACATAAGTTGTTTCATTCCAATACCGTCTGGTGCCTATGTAAATCTGGCAGGGAAACAAATCACGCTCCAATTTGTCAGCACATGTTTCATTCGAGATGAGCAGACAGCATGCCTGTCACGAGAGATATGCAATCAGAGTGCCAACGTACGAAGTCTCTAGTTGTGATTGGGGGTTCCAATTGTCATGTTCCAATGACTTGCTTCTCTTCTCTGGATCTTTTCTATGGTCTTATAGTCTTATACTCCATTGAGTCCATTGCACCGCAATTCTGTACCCGCAAAAACGTTTGGTTTGATGTGGATGATGTGGACAGTTTTCAATCGTCGCAACTCTGCATTCTCGACAACCATGGAGCGAAAAGCATCTTTCCCATCCTTCATTCTCTCACTGGTGGCATCTTCCTGTGGGTGATGAGCTGTAACGAGAACAGAAAGTCTTAAGCTTCACGACGCAAATGATGTGAATGATTTGTGATTTGGTAATAATTGCATGCAAAGCAGCATCTAAGACAGTGGAAGTCAGCACAATGTGGCTTAATTACAAGAAGTAAATAAATAGCAAATCTACAACTTTTAAAGACTAGTGAGTAAGGTTGCATTCCTAGGTAGAAGTTGAAGTAGACGAAGTAGAAGAGCCAAAGGGGAGCCCACACAATATCCACAGATCTTCCTAGATCTTCCTATAGATCTTCTTAGGCCACCCACAGAGATGCCGAGATGAACGCCAACGTCAGTGCGCACAGGGAAGCAAACGGAAGACAAAACCAAAAAACTTGTGCCCGAAGCATGGAATCATGTAAGAAGAGTCATAAGCCATCAGAGACAAAATAAGGTCAGGCATAATATCTGTGTAGATGTGCACCTTGCCATGCTTCTATTGTCAATTGTTTGCAATTCTATCATGTTACATATGGGCCACGGTCAATATTTAATATACGAATACTTCCAAGTCATCATTTTGAAGAGTGTATTATCGCTTTTAATTCGCTTTTTCAGGTTTTGGGAAACCATGTTCGTATTCCCCGTATATTCCATCGTATTCTGATGGTTTTTCAGCAAGTGATGGGATACTTCCTGGCACTTTCAAATGCAGCACAATCAAGCTAAATTCTCGGACATTCATTTCCTTCATGGAACTGTCGCCACCACTGGCACGGCCACTACTATTACATCACAACCACCACTATCACCCACCACTGTCACCACCACCACTATCACAAACACCACACTGACGAAAACTTCATTTTCACATCTTCGACTTTCAGATTTTGAGGGAATTCTCGCAGGAAAGCTTCGTTTTCACATCTTCACTTTCAGTTCCAGAAACTTATTCAGGAAGCCCTGCCACTCATCTTGGACGAGCAACGTGCGCCAAGAAAAACAGTTTTTCGGCGAGCCATGGGCCAGTGTCTGGCCGATAGGGAGTATGTGTTTTTTTGGTTATCGTTTCGTTGTCGTTCGGGTTATCGTTTGGGACACCTGGTTGGATCAAAACAATCTACAAAACAATGATTCTGGGAAACCCTTCTTTTGAGAAATTCTTCATGCTATCTTGAACAAAGTTTGAGGCTGCCGCAGAAAACGAAAAGCACAAACTCCAAAAGGAATAGAAGAAAGAGCGGAATGAAAAGCTTCCACACTGTTCCTGCCGCAAGGCAAGACCTTGTTCTTTCCTTTCCCTACCATGCTGCGTTGTCACTAGCAAGAATTGAGGCAAAAGACTGATATGTGGCCGTACAGTAAATTTCCAAACAGAAGCATAAACAGACCATCACCGCACAGCAATGCACATCACCAGGTACCACCAGGATTTTGCCGTTTGCCTATCTCTCAAACAAATGGTGAATGCTATTGAATGCCTACATAAAGGCATCGAATAACCTGACCGTAAGACAAAGGATGACTAATGACCAAGATCGTAACATAAGCAAATGTTATCGTTTTTTAAGAGTGCATTATCGTTGTCCATGCCCCAGCTCAAAAAAAAGAGATGCCTTGAATACTACTCTCAATTTCTACTACTCTTCATATCACATGGAGGTCAAAGTGCTGGTAAATGGATATCATGATATCACAGTGTGGCATGCCCAGAGTATGATAGGTGAGAAGGGATGAAATAGTGATTAAATAGTGTTGCATCAAAATCTCACATGCAACCCTTCCTCAACGAAAATCAGTCATCTCCCTCCTGCCTGCACCGCTTCTTGCTTTGTTGAGTTCCGTCTCCAACAGTCCCGTTGCCATTCCACGTATCTGAACCGCCCCAGTTGATGACATTGCCATCTTCGAGCAACGCAGCAAAAGCAAAACTGGACGCTTGGATCTGGATGACCTTCTTCAACCTTTCCGCCACAGAGCTGCAGTCACCACCAAATGCGGGATTGCCCCAAGCCACCACTGTCCGATCTGCTCTCAGCGCAGCAAAGGCATGAGAGGTGGCCTCACAAGGCAGGGCAAAGCCATCCACTTGCATTGGACATCACGTGAGCAACACGTTCAAACATTTTATAGCATCTTGAACCAACCCAAGGCAAACGTTTGGGAACACTGATTCTGGAATGGGTCATGAAAGCACCTCTTACAGTCACTTACAGTTGGTGGGAAAACCGACGTTACTTTCACCTTTCGAGTTCCTTCTTCGGTAGTGTCAACAGTGTCAATTTGGCAGAGTAACGAGCAACGCAACATTCAACTTCACAGCACTCCATGGCCTGAATCTGCTGTACGTTTTGCAGTTGGTCCCTGACCGATCCACTGTAGCCACCATCTTCTGGCAAACCCCAAGTCACCACATTGATCCCACGCTCGCTGAGAATCGCAGCGAATGCCCCTTCCGAAGCCTGGATTTGTGACACGCCTTTCAATTCTTGAGCCACTGCGCTGCTGTCGCCACCTCTCTGAGGTTCACCCCAAGTCACAACAGATCCTTGCTTCAATATAGCAGCAAAAGAGCTGTGGGATGCTGCAACTTCACGCACACCTTCCAAGGAGATGCACTCCCCGCCAAACCACGGATGGCCCCAAGCCACGGCCAAACCATCACAACGAACAGCTGTAAAGGCCATGGAGGTTGACTGAATTTGTTGAACTTTTTGGAGCAGGCCATTGACCCGACTGCTATCCCCGCCACCATTCCGACGACCCCAGGTCACAACCGAGCCGTTGGCCAAAATCGCAGCAAAAGAGCAGCTGGAACTTTGGATGTCCTGCACTTGTTGAAGCATCGTTTGAACCTTGCTGCTGTCACCTCCGAGAAATTGGTCACCCCATGAAACAACAGTTCCATCCGCCAAAAGGGCCGCAAATGCCTTGCGCGTGCTTTGAATCTTTTGCACACCTTTTAGCAACTCTCGAACTTCTCTGCTGTCTCCCCCGCACCTGGCATGCACCCCTCAAAAGTCCATGTGTCCTGTTCAATTACAGTATATAATTCAAAGAAAACAAAAACCCAGACATCATACCCAGTTTATTCCAGGCAAACCATGGGCATGAAAACAAACCTGCAGGAACAGCCAGGCCGAGGGGAAGATAAAATGATCGTTGGTTCATGTGTATTGATTCACTCCTACCGGAGGGGGGGTTCCCTCCAAACTATTTTCTTCATCTTAAGGGCCCGTGGACGATAGTTGTATATATATATATATCCAAGGCTATGTGGTCATATTGTGATGTGATGTTCACAAAGAGGAAACCTGATCCAGAGAAAAACAAAAAACACCTTCATGTGCAAAATGGATTACTTCATGACAATGGTCGATATGGATTTCAAAATGTAGCCAAATCCAAGAAGAAAACACACATTGGAAAGCAAAATACATCCAGTAGAATGCTTCGACAGACAATGCAAGATTGCAGTGGAGAAGTTCAAGTCATGAATTCACCCTATTCATCTACAAAGACTACTTTACTTTGAAGGGAAGGCAACCTCGGAGTCTTAGGATGTGGAGTATCCACGTGGCAATTGAGGAACTGCAAGAAAACAAGAGTTAAGCTGTACCGTACTTGCGTGGTAGTGTGTAAATCTCACAAGAAGCTGGAAAATAAAATGGGTGTATAGTTATATTTATGTGTACATACATAGTGTACATACATATATATATATATATACAATATGTGTGCCTTGCTTGAGTGAATGCTTGATGCTGTGTCTTGCTATCTATTAGTGCAGCTACAGTAATCGGGTGCCCCTAATGAGTGTGGCTCTGTATCAGCAGAGTGTACGTGTGCGCCTTGCTTGTCGCTGCTGTTGCGTTCGCATTCCACTGAAACATGACAGGAATGAACCAACCAAAAAAGCCAACCAGCCAGCCACCCAGGCAACCAACCGAATCAAGCAAAAAGGCGACCAACCGACCGACCGACCGACCAAGCAAGCAAGCAAGCAAGCAAGCAAGCAAGCAATCATCAACCCGTCAACTAATGAGTTTGGTAGTTAAGGATAGTTACGGTTTCCATTCAATCAAGAAGCGAAAATCAAAATATCCTGAACTAGAGAATGTATGGACTTTAGAGGCTCATGCTTGTCCTCAAAACTTGCAGGAAGCAACAAAATCCTTTCTTGACCACAGCACAGATCGCATAGGTAGTATATAGTTCCCAGTAAAATTCTTGGCACCGCCACTACTGCGGGTGCGATACGCATGCCATTATCCTGAACTTGCTACTGTCAGTATATAAATCGGAAACATTCGGAAACAGCTGAATTTACCAAGACACCCTGCATGCCCCCAGGTAACAACCGTTTGATCTCTTCGAATGGCAGCAAATGCAGCATGTGAGGCCTGAATTTCTTCGACGTCCCTGAGCTCATCCTCCACCTGACAACTATCTCCACCACTGTCTGCATCACCAAAGGTGACAACCCGGCCATCACTTCGAATTGCAGCAAAAGCGCCAGAGTTGCTTTGTATTTGTTGGACCTCGTGGAGATACCGCCGGCCTGAGACAACGCAACAGGCAAATTCTGATGCGAAATATTCAAATGTCTGATGCGAATGTTCGCATGTGCCCCTGTTTCACATGTCATTATATTGTCTACATTGTCTACATGTGTATTTTGAATTCTTGTCTCTATGCCCCAATGTCTAAAGTAGCTTTGCATTCAGTGTAACATACAAATAAATATAAATGCAAGATGCGGGGACAGTCCCGCCCTTCTTGACAGAATCACGACACAATCAGGGATTCGTCAGAGGTTCGTTGAATGAGTGATGAACAAGGCTTCGCGAATACTACTAGCTTGAAACGTTAAAGGATCTGAAACAGTCATAAATAGTCGAGCAATTCGCACCAAAAGGTCAAAGGGTCAAAGGTCGTCTGAAGTCAAGCCACGTAGTCTTGCACTCTCCTCCAGCTCAGAGTCCCCACCAATCGCCACGCTTCCGTCTGTTCGAATGATCGCAAAGCCCTTAGAATTTGCCGCCACCTGGACAGATTGGACTACCGCTGTCACCGACTCTCCATCTTCCAAGCCAGTCTCTTGCACTGCCAAAGAGGAGGGCAACAGGAGACCTAACAAAGTCGGCACTCCATCAATTCAGCCTGATGTGGCATCTTGTGGGGACTACTGTGAGGACAGGGCCAAATTTGTTGCAAGTATATACAGGTCACTTTACAAAGGAACTGTCACAAGCCTTGCCTGTGCTGGTGATGAGACTCTTGATGGTCACGCCCAAACTCCGTGCTGCAGCAGTCCGCAAATCACGAATCACAGAGTCTGGTGATGCCCACAAATGCGTCGACCGACCACTGGCCAAATGGACGTGAATCCACATGGGCAAAAGCTTCACATCATGCAACGACTTGTACTGAGCGGCGATCAAATGTACAGAAATATGTATAGTCTTGACTACATATGTTTCCTATGTCAAAATTAAGCTCAGAAACAACACTTGAGGCTTAATCTAGATGTGCGGACGAACAGAGGGATGTATATATATATATGCTACTACGTACAGAACGTAATTAACTCTTTGTATATATATACGTTGTTTATGTACATGTGCATATGTATATATATATATACATACTCGGTATGCGTATGTGTATGCGCATTTACATAGTGTGTACCTGTGTCAAGATATATAGATATATAGACATATACACTCATATAGATATGTAAATATACATGTCTCATATATATATATATGTATGTAGATATCTAGATATATATATATATACATATATAATGATATTTAGATATATATATATAATGATATTTATATATATATATAATGATATTTAGATATATATATATATATATAATGATATTTAGATATATATAGAGAGATATATATATATATAGATGTCATATTCATATATATATAATATGCATATATGTACATGCGTACGTGTATCTTATGTTGTTTCGTGGACCCGAGTTAGGCTCTGAGAAGAGCGGCTTCGGCAAGTCTGCATGATCTAATCTGCACACCATTCTCATTTGGCAATTGCTGACAGCAAGTCATCGTTTGCATCAAATGATGGTTCGTCTCCAACGACAAACATGTCTAGGCGTCTCTAGCCTCTAGCTCATCAAACATGTAAGACAGCAACTTTGAATTGGAATGACACTTAGTTATATCAGATTTTTTTTTCCTCCTGGAGAAATTCTTGCACAGTTGAAGCAACAATTCAATTCACGTCTCAAGGGCTTTTGAGATGACAGTGTGGTCACGTCTCCCACAGTTGTTCCTCACCAAGCAACGTGACTAGGTTCATTTCAAACTGTAAAGCCACCAACGTTGCTCAAGCATCCAAGTAAGTCGGTTTTCAGAATCACTGTGATGGAGGTGGAATCTAATATGCAGACAATATCACAAATATATACAAAGCAAATATGGATATACAATGTGTGCATACATACAGCAATTGCATGTAATTATTTTATGCATGACACAGAATTCATTGAACTCTCTGGTAAACAGCTCCTGAGAACCAGTCACAACTGGGACACGCAACATTTGCGTGGTACCCATGCCTCGAAACTTAGGGTGATCCAAAGAGTTCAGTGGAATAAAGCCAATAAAGCCAATAAAGCCAATGACGAATGAATAGAATGAATAAAGAAAATAACCAATTTGAATAGTTGGAGTATGTTGGAGTACATAGTGGGTCCATGTGGGTCCCCATGCTTTGAGTCCAATTAGGCTTTTTGTGAATTGCTGTTGCAGGCGTATGCGGTCCATTTGAGAATTAGTTCTCCAAACCTCAACTTTCCCTGTCGTTGTTCAGCCATGATCTTTCCAGCCATGAAAATGAATCAAAATGAATCAAGCATGTTGATCAAAAATAATCAAAATAGCAAGGAGTGTAGATAATCAAATGTAATCAACATAGTGTGTGGGGTCTGTGAAGGCTTTTGGTCCGTACGGAAAGCTTGAGGCTTGGACTCTCATAGTCTGAACCATAAGTTCTGGCAGCTTCCATGTGCGTCCACCTGCAGGAACTGCCTAACTGGCCTAACTCCACTGCGAAGAAGGGGCTTTGACCAAAGTCTATTGAATCTATTGTTGATATTTATTGATTGGTAAAGTGCGATCAGGCCTCCCTCAGAAACCTGCATGGCCAGATTTGCAAATGATTCCAACTGCCAGATTGAAGCTGCATTTATTGGGCTACCGCACGAAGGGATTGGCAACCTGACCAACTGGGTAAGGATCCGCACCTTGCGCCAGCTTCGCAAGGGCTGATGAAACAAATTGACCTGGATATAACAACTGTAGGACAGTGTAGGACTTTTTGTCGACCGCCTAGAAGGAACAATCTGACCAGTGATTTTTCATGTTCAGTCTTGTACATTCAAAAAAAGGAGCGAACCTGATAACATCACCATTTTTTGCTCCCCTAAGTTTGGAACACCAAACGTCCACTCAGCATGTCTTGCCTTGTAGGCCTGTGCTGCAACAAAGGCATGAAGCCCAAACCACAAAGCGAGAAACAGGTACCTGGTGACATCGACATCGGATGACAACGTGCTGCACTGCTGGGCAGACACCAGTCTACACAATGGTAACCCCTTGGGTAGAGCAACAGTGCTTTTTGGTTTGGCATCTTAGGAGCTGGCCAAAGGGTTGCTACAAATAAGCAAATGGTCGTCTAGTGAGTCTAGTTTGAAGGTGTTCGAAAAGTCAGTGGGTTTTTGTTTCTGATCGACAATGCCTAAAGACCTGTTCTTGTCGGATACATCATGATACATCGACATAGAATTGATGTCACCCTTCTTTCGTGCACAGAATTTGTATACACAATTTACGGATCCATTCTCATGGCACTTCAAAATCCCAGCGCACGAGATGCAACTACAAATGGCCAGCACCTCGGCACACCATCTCTACGGCAAAGCAGTCCCAGAGCTGTATGAACCGGCAACAGCCAGGGTTAACGACTCAAAGCTGACCCTGTAGCTGAAAAAAAAACTCAAGAGGTATTGTATCACAAAAATCACTGAACAGCATGGATCCTCGGAAAAATGTTGAGCTTTCGCAGCTCTCAAGTTGCCAGCTGTTGACATCCCAGAATTGCCTACATACATGTGCACTCTTTCTCGGCTTGGACGGAAAAGGCAGCAATACCATTAGAATTGGAGGATACTATGGACTATAAGAGATAGGATTGAAGGCAACTGTCTGCACTTATCGGTGATGTAAAAGCAATAAAAAAGCGAGCTGATGGCAAAGAACGTCAATAGTCGAAAGCAATATATGTTCTTCCAAAACAAATGCCAGCAAGCCATTGACGAGAGCCGAGGCCTCACTGTCTTTGTACTTTGTAAATATGTCTTGCGACGTCTGTGGCACATCTTCCGAAACCTAGTCTTACAGTTTTACAGAACAAAAAACGACTATGGACGCTGTGAGACCCCTCCCGGACAAGGCAGTGCGCTGTAGTGATTAATTCTGGGGAGTTACACTGTAGCTCTTCACTTGAATCCTCCTTCAGTGGGAAAGTTACGGAAAGACCAACACCTACGTGTCGATGCGCCAAAGACTGCTTCCGGCATGTTGAAACTAAGGTAGTGTGGCATCAGCAAAATTGGTTTGGGTTTCAGGCAGGGGGCCAACGCAACAATGTGAATCCCCTTCACTCTCCCTGGTGTGTACATATTTTTCCGTGGAAGAGGTTTGTTTTATTGGCGCAAACCCCAACGGCGAACAGAGTTGAAAGCCGTTCCCCGCATACTGCGTGTATGTGGGTGTGTGTGTGTGTGCTTTCTTTTAAGTGCTGCATCCCCTCTGCGTTCTCCTCCCAGTCGGTCCAGAGCCTCCTCCTCCTCTCTCACAATCAGACACCAACCATCATCTTGTCATCATCTACTTCTGTCACACTTGCCTCTATCAAACTTGTCTCAGTCAACGGTCTCTTTATTATTCAAGGTTGGCTCAACTCTATCAAACCTATCTCGATCAAACTTCTCTCCATTAAACATACCATCATCAGACTTACCAGTGTCTACTTGCCTCCAGGAAATTTATCACTTTCGAACTGACCTCTGTCTGACTTTTCTAGCCGGCTTACCTTTATCCGAACTCTACATTCAACTGGTTTCAATCAAACTCACCTCAATCCAACTTACCCGTCACCTCTTTTCTGTCGTTTATCTATGTCTTAGCTTCAATGATCTGATACAACTCATATCTGTACCCAACCCTCATTGTCCAATCTCTCTTCCTTCTTTTCTTATTTACAGGAAGGCTTAACATGTGTGGTTAGCAGGTCCTGGGACTGCTTGTAAATCTTTATCACCAGTCGGATACTCTTCGGATAGACTTGGCGCCCAGCACAAATACAAAGGGGCCAACAGCACATGGATACCAAACTTGTGGCCATGCAGGGAGACATGCTGGGAGACAAACACAGCACAGTGACAAGCAGGAGACAGGCCGGATAGGACCAATAGGTAAAGGACTATCGTTTCGGATTGTTTTGGCATGTTCTGATATGTTTTGACATGTTTTGGCAGTATACAGGGAATCCTGCGAGACAAGATGACCTGGACAGCACCCGCCTTCAGACTTCAAGTCAGGAGGCTGCGAGGGCGTGGTGTGAGACAAGCTGCACAGCAAAAGAGAGCACCCTGCCCACGCAGTTCCGGACAATACCCTGATTAGATGGGAAGTAAGAACCTCCATGTTTTGCAGTTTTTCACGATAATAAGAAGAATTGCCACTCCGAGCAGGAACTTTGCTAGACTATTGAAGAAGAAAAAATCCGCCGGCCTGCCAGCGTGTGTTGAGGTTGTTCTTGTGATACATCTTATGATAGTTTTAGCTTCACCTATAGATTGTTTCTGCGCGGATCTTTGCTTTGCTTGCATTGCTCCGGCTGGGTATAGCCTCTCGGTTGCGGCTTGGTACACCCTCCGTTGAGTCCCAGTTCTACAGTATCTCCTGGCTTAGCTTGTGTTAAAAATTAACTTATTTTTCAAATTCTTCTATAAATAGCGCCCTAGTTTTAACTTGTTGGTTTGAGATTGAATTCTAGCTCCAACTAGTTATAGTTTGATCTTGTTCTAGTTTGAATTCGAGTTCTAGTCCTAGCTACAGCAGTGCCTTGCTCTTATTCAAGCTTTAGATTTTAGCCTGGCCCTAGCTCCAGCACTGGTTTGATTTTGTTCTAGCTTTAGGTTGAGACCTACTTGTACATATAGCTATAGGTTTAGGTTAAGATCTAGTTGTAGCTATTGCTATAATTTTAGGTTGAGATCAACTTGTACCTATAGCTATAGGTTTAGGTTGAGATCCACTTGTACCTATTGCTATAGCTATACCTGAAATGCTTTGGCTACCCTCCCCCCTCCCCCCTCCCAAATAGACTATAGACTATAGTCTTATAGTCTACTATAGTCTACTATAGTTTAGTATAGTCTAGTATGATTAGTCTAGTCTAGTATAATCAGTCTAGTCTCGTCTCGTCTCTTTTCTCAAGCGAACTAGACTCACCTTATTTTCATCATCACATCACCCCACCCTCGTCTCGGTGGTCATCGTCATCCTCCTCCTCTTCCTCCTCATCGTCATCAGCCTCATCATCAGCATCATCCTCATCATCATCAAACCAACCCTTTACACCAACTAGCTTTACACAACCCCTGCTTTGGGCCTGTAGGCCAAAAGCCAGAGGGCCGGCGGAATGCCGAAAGCTGTTAAATAGTTCAGCATCAGCTACCAATAATGGAATGATGATCTTCGAATTGATATAGGTACACTGTTGGTGTCCTCTGGGTTCCATCTTCATAACTGCACAGGTAAGTTTTGCATTTGTCTGGGATTGATGTGAAGGGTGATGAAAGCAATCCTTTGTTGTTAGGAACCCAAATTATGCTCAGTCAATCCAATGTGCCTCTAGATAGCGACCATCGCATGCTTTGTAGGGGAACAAATATCACTTCGAAACCGCTTTGATAAAACGTCCATGACAAGGCAAATCTAGTTTTGCAGGTTCTCCATGTGTTGAAATGTTCCGGCGTTTCTCCAATTCGGGCGTTTTGTTTCATCAAAACTTGTCAAGTTCGCCCCACGATGCTGCGTGAAGAAGCACTGTACAAAAGGTTTCAAGGCCCCGAATGCTTCTTTAGGCACAGCCAGCAGCGCCCACACAGTGGGCCACACAATGGGCCCACACACGTCAAAAACGTCAAAAATTTGAAGTGGGACTTCTGCACCGACCATCTTTGATGTCGTGCCACCTTTGCCACCCCCTGTTTTGTACACAGGGTCAAGGCCAGGCCCAACAGCAAAATTCCAACAAGTTCACAGACCTGCGACCAGAGTTTGCGAGAAAGAAGTAGGTTTTCGTAAGTGCAGCTCTGGCATACGTCCATCCATTCATATTTGCACACACGGAAAGGTATGCACATGCCACAAACATGCGTGTGTGTGTGTGAACAGATACATATATATATATATACATATCCGCCGACCCGACCCAGCCATCAGCAGGGGGAGCACGTCAGAGGAAAAGGGTTGCTGGGAACCCATTAGTGATGATGTTTGAAATTGGACAGTGACGGCTGGGCCGGGAAGGCGCAGTGAAATCCGCGGACCCCTGCAGCCAACGGTAGGGAAACTGGCAGCTCAAGGGTCAGCTCCATGTGGTCCATGGGGCTGTCCTCTGGCGGAGCCGTGGCTCCATCATAGTCTTCTCGTCCAGCACCGCCACCCTGGAGCTCGAAGCCCGCTGAAACGGTAAGCTCCATCGGGTTTTGCCGTCAGTTTTTGACGTCCAACGTCCATTTCGTCCGAAAGGGTTGTGGCGGATACCTCAAAATCGCCGTCCAACGTCCATTTCGTGCGAAAAGGTTGCGAGGGATACCTAAAAATCGCAAATTTACCTCAGTTTTTGACGTCCAACGTCCATTTCATGGGAAAGGGTTACGAGGGATACCTCAAAATCGCAATTTTACCTAGGTTTTGGACGTCCGATGTGCGCAAAATGCTGCGCCTGTCACGTTTCGTGGCGCTCCGGCGGCACCGCCCCCGCCTTAAGAGAGAGATAGAAAGAAGAGCGAGAGAAAGAAAGGAGGAGAGAGAGAAGATCTGCAGATGTGAAGGTGCGAGGAAGTAGATCTGCAGATGTGAAGGTGTGAAGATGTAGATCTGCAGATGTGAAGGTGTGAAGATGTAGATCTGCAGATGTGAAGGTGTGAAGATGTAGATCTGCAGATGTGAAGGTGAGAAGATGATGTAGATCTGCAGATGTGAAGGTGAGAAGTTGTAGATCTGCAGATGTGAAGGTGTGAAGATGTAGATCTGCAGATGTGAAAGTGTGAAGACGTAGATCTGCAGATGTATTACAACGGCTGTTTTTTTACGAAGAACCCTTCGCAGGCGCTCTCGGGAAAAAATAAAGCAATCACACACACATTGTAGCAGGTCCATTTCTAACGGTTTCTTTATCTGTTATCTACTGCGTTTTGTTGTCCAAAAAGGTCTTGCTGGGCAGCAAACCACCAAACACGCAAGCCTGGTGGCACCCACCCCTGTTTTCCTTTCTTAAAGTTAGCACCATGGATTATGGATTCTATGGGTTACTTTGGTGATCTTTTCAAGACATCTTTGAGTCCATCAATGGAAGTTCGTCTTCATCAATTTTCCATGATCTTCATCAATTTTCCATGGTTCCCTTGTTCCTGCTTAACAGCCAGCATGAAGATGGGCCAACATGGCCCCAAGCTGGTCGACGAGGTGCCAACATAGCCGCAAGCTGGGCCACCCTCGCCCCAAGATCCGCCTACGACAGACCTTGCGGATGGGCCACAACCACCACCACCACCACCACCACCACCAGGTTAACAACTCACTTCCAACACCGAAAATCAACTCACTCCCAACACCGACTCACTCCCAACACCAAGATCTCACTCCCAACACCAAAATCAACTCACTTCCAACACAAAAAGCACTTTTCGGCGTCGAGGGCGAGTCGATTTTCCATTTCCCCATTGGTACTGAGGCGTCACTTCTGGAACCCCATCATAAACAAACATTACACGGCAAATGATCAACACTGAGAAACCCTTCAAGGGGATTCAACCCTTTAGGTTGGGGAGGGGGAACCATCAGGGCACCATACAGGCGGAATGATCAACACTGATAATCCCTTCCAGGGGTGGGGTGGGGGGGGTGGGATGATAACGTTCATGTTCCTATGCACACACAGGCACAGCAACCTCATCATCTTTCTTGCTGTTGAGCAGAGACAGGCACAGCTCTTTCATGATCAGTTACCGGTGGGGTGGGGTGAGTTAATAAGGTTCATGTTCCTATGCCTGCGCACGCACAGCAACCTCATCATCTTTCTTGCTGTAGAGCACTTACACGCACTGCTCTTTCATGATCAGTTACCCGTGGGGTGGGGTGAGTTAATAAGGCTCATGTTCCTATGCATACACACGCACAGCAACCTCATCATCTTTCTTCCCGTAGAGCAGAGACAGGCACAGCTCTTTCATGATCTGTTGTTGTTGTTGTTGTTGCTGTTGTTGTTGGGTTTGTATTTATTTTTGTTTTTGTTGTCGTTGTTGTTCCTTCCGGAACCCTGTCGGCGCGCACGGGGGAGAGCGCAAAACTGCCTGTGAGGGCGCGTTTATCTTCATTTCGCTCACTGTGGGCAGTGTTTCGTGGTGGTACGTTGAAGTTGTGCCCGTCAGTTAGAAGTTGTGCCCGTCAGTTAGAAGTTGTGCCCGTCAGTTAGAAGTTGTGCCCGCATGACATGTTATTATTTTTGGGGTGGGGAACAGGGGGGGTGGGGGGGGTGGGGGGGGGCACACGCACACACGCGTGATGTTACGTTGTAAGATCTTCTCTTGCACTTGCACACACACGTGATGTTACGTTGTAAGATCTTCTCTTGCACTTGCACACACACGTGACGTTACGTTGTAAGATCTTCTCTTGCACTTGCACACACACGTGATGTTACCTTGTAAGATCTTCTCTTGCACTTGCACACACACGTGATGTTACCTTGTAAGATCTTCTCTTGCACTTGCACACACACGTGATGTTACGTTGTAAGATCTTCTCTTGCACTTGCACACACACGTGATGTTACGTTGTAAGATCTTCTCTTGCACATGCACACACGCGTGATGTTACGTTGTAAGATCTTCTCTTGCACTTGCACACACACGTGATGTTACGTTGTAAGATCTTCTCTTGCACTTGCACACACGCGTGATGTTACGTTGTAAGATCTTCTCTTGCACTTGCACACAGGCGTGATGTTACGTTGTAAGATCTTCTCTTGCACTTGCACACAGGCGTGATGTTACGTTGTAAGATCTTCTCTTCCACATGCACACATTCACGTGCCTGCAGCCACTGCCCGTCACAGCATCGATGCTTGACTTCAGATTGGGACAAAGACTTGTTGCTTTCCAACATAAAAATAATTATACCCAGAAGATTGAAATGTACCACTTCGAACATGTCGGATATGTGTTAGCTTCACTGAGGACGAACTCTCACCGACTATGTCTTTTCGCATGAGCAAGTTGTCCAAAAAAACAACAAAAATGCTAACTCGGAGTGCATCCATGAAGAAGCCAGCTTGCGTGATGAGCCCAAAGAAAACAATTGCCAAAATCGTGGGAGGAGATAATAGCAGCGAAGCAGAGTTTTCCCGGGTCAAGCGATCTCTGAGACGTGTCAACCAAATAGGTCGAATGCAGCCATCCCAGTCTCACATAATTCCTTTGGCGATGCAAAAAATTTTAGATTCTCCCGGATTAGAAACAGTGTTGCAGGCCATGGCTTTCTACCGGCAAGCCAGAATGTCTCAGGTTGGATGCGATCCCAAAAAATTTGGGAAAGTGTCAGATGACAACGCATGGCTGAAGATATGAATGAAAAAGTAAACATGTCGGCGCGCGCCCACAAGGTTCCGAAACGTTGTTGTTGTGGTTGTCGTCGTCGTCGTCGTTGTTGCTGCTGCTGTTGTTGTTATTATTGTTGTTGTTGTTGCTGTTGTTGTTGTTGATGTTCCTGTTGGCGTTGATGTTGATGTGAATGCTGATGATGTTGTTGTGGTTGTTAATGTTTTTGTGTTGTCGATTTGGAGACTGCTGTTGATTTTGTTCTTGTTGTTGATGTTATCATGTTGTCGATGTCAGTAAAGAGGCGTCGAGAGCGAGTCGATTTTCGGGGCTGAAAGCGAGTTGATTTTCGGCGTCGGGAGCGAGGTGCCGACCCCACCACCACCACCACCACAACAACAACAACAAACAACAAACAACAAACAACAAACAACAAACAACAAACACCAAACACCAAACACCAAACAACAAACAACAAACAACAAACAACAAACAAAAAACAAAAAACAACAACAAACAACAAACAAAAAACAACAAACAACAAACAACAAACAACAAACAACAAACAAACAAACAAACAAACAAACAACAACAACAACCACAACCACAACGACAACGACAACGACAACAACAACAACCACAACCACAACCACAACCACAAGAAGAAGAACAACAACAACAACGACAACGACAACAACAACGACAACGACAACGACAACGACAACAACAGCAGCAGCAACAGCAACAACAACAACAACAAGAAGAACAAGAAGAAGAAGAAGCACAAAAATACGACACACAAAGATTTGTGATAAATGGGTTACAAGCTGCGGTATGACAAGAACATCGCACTGTGCTCTGCACCTGCGCACACGTTCGGAGCACCACCACCACCACAACAACGACAACAACAGCAACAACTATACAACAAGAACAAAAAGAACGAGCACACAAATGCGACACAACGATGCGTGGTAAGATGGTTACAAGCTGCGGTATATGAAAAGAACATCACACTGTGCTCTGCACCTGCGCGCATGCGCAGAGGACATGAACAACACCAACGCTCACACTACTATACATAACCCTTATGGCATCGCCGGTGTGCGAAGCTCCACAATAATATATATATATATATGTGTGTACAAGTAACATATATATATATATATACGTATGCATACATATGCATACATTTGTTAAATTTGAAAGAGACATGTAAAAAGTCTGGCAAGGAAAATGTGGAATTGAGAATTTTTACATCATAAATAATTATTCTCAACTGCCTCTCATCCGCAGCAAAGGAAGCCGCCATCAACGGGGACACAGGCTCCGTTGACCATGCCGCTTCGGGCGTCGTCCAATAGAAAAGCAACCACACTGGCAATTTCACAAGGCTCTGCAAAGCGCCGCAAAGGGATCTTCAACTGCATGGCCTCCAGGGACAATGTGGATCGTCACCACCGATGTTCCCATCAATGTTGCTACATGTGTCAAACATCATTTTGAGCATGTTCAAACAACCTT